TTTATTAATAAAAGTAGCAAATCACTAGGATGACCTAGATGCTTTGCACCACATACCGTTTTATCAATCTAGTGACAAACACTGTAATTGTACCTTGTTGAGAGAGTTGATTATACGAGCATCTAAGTGACGTTATCGTTATATCGGCGTCAGACATAATTAACCTGAATCCTCGGTCTTTGACTCTAATGCCTCAGATGAATATGACAACAACAGCAGTCATTATATCATTATCTTATACCCGTTATTTTATTAATCATTGCGAATGAGTCGGCTAACGAATACTCAAATGAAATGAGCTCTTGCGTTCTTCGCACACTAAATGTTTGCTAGACAACGAGTAAAAAGCTTTTTGATTATGAAGCTGATGTTCTATCAATCAACAACCGCCATTCGTTGGGCCAAATGAAGGTTCCAAGTACAATGGAAAATTTAGCCAGAACGTTTACTTTTCAAAGCAACCGGATGTTACGCAACAGTTTTATCTTGCCTTTATGTGGTTGTTGCTACTCCGATGTTACCATCTTGTAGCGAATATTATATATTAAGTTCATCTCTTTCGTTTTCTCCGTTTAATGAAGCTTTCGGGAAATCTGTGATCCAAAGCACCTTCGTTTATCTAGTAAGTTCGGTTAAGTTCCTGCACCCTTTAACGCTGTATCTTTGCTGGCGGTCGACGTTTGAAACAGACGGTTCTACCTTTTGCACTGCTGAAGGATAGTCACTTGGAGCATTACTGGCATTTTGATGTGCACAATGAGGGTTAGGTTAAATTTAATGTTTGTTCCGTAGTTAATGGCACGTTGATTTTAAGCAAAAAAAGCCTGCAACTGTTGGAATGTCGACCCTCCTCACACTTTAGTGATGAGCTATTTCTAGCGTCCTTCGTTTCATGAAGTTAATGATCGAGCACTGATCTTCATTTCTACGCCGTTGGCCAGGAGAGCCTTATTTTAAAAGGCAGCGTCGTCAACAGATACGCGGCAGGCACGGCCTGTAGTCTCGTTTCTTTCCTGATTTATCAGCCTCCGAGGGAAGAAACCTGAGTAACCTATCCTGGGCTCAAATCCGGGACCTCTTATTTCCGAATCCGATGTTTCTCCGACTTTGCAGCCCCGGTCAACTGATAAGAAATTAGCTTTGAGGTATGGTGGTGCGAGTTCGACTTCAGAAAAAAGAAAGAAGGATCTACTAACTGTTAATTCCCCTGAGTAAAGAAATCACTCCATGCTGCTTCGGTAATACCAGCCGAGAAACGGGCAGCAAGTAGCTAACTTTTGAATAACGGGGTCAGTATAGTGGCCTGGCATGGTCATACCAGAAAGGACCAGATGCTCAACCATGTTCTCTGACGCAAACAGCTCATAACTCTCTAACTGCTTTGACCAATTAGAGCCGACCATAGAGTATAACAGTCAGCGCAGTTTGTAAACTATATTGTTGTTGACAAATGCTTCAGTTCATGGCTCTTCTTCCGGAAGGGGTTCAATGCTGTTACGAATTTTTCGATGACAACAGCAACACGAACGAAGACTCAGGCCATTCTGAACAGTGTCTGTGTGAGGCACTCCGTTGACTTTATCGATTAGCTAATCATAAGCGGATATACACTATGCTGAAAGTATATTAGAAAGCCGTTGTCTCGGATGTGCTAGAAATTGCATATAAGGTGAGTGGCAAAGATTTAATTATTATGGACATAACCATACGCTCAATGTCAAAGTCAGTATTTTGCTCGATTCAGTAGAATGACACTGGCGATCCTGAGAATAAACAGTCAGGACATTGTTTGCCACGATGCTGGTCAATGCTGTAAGTAAAATAATCGCTTAAATGTCGGTCTTCTGGTTGTAGCTATAACCATGATTCCATATCACTTATATGCATAACTTAGCCACAGTATACTGAATTGTTCGTTTCTGAAATTCTTAGTGAGAATTACAAACTTATGTCGCTTCTACGGAAGAATTTTTGAAATGCGCACAATCTCCTGGTTTATAATAGTACAGGGGACTCTTAAAGCAAGCCGCGGCTCAATGATGTCTACATCAGCAATACTCATCGCATTCGTGCCATGGATTCAGCAGAGCGGATGAATATGGCCGAGACCATATAGTCATTGTGCACATATTGAAAAATTTGAATTGGGTTGTCATTTATTCTTAAATTTGATTTAATCTGGATTGTTCGAGATAACTTGGCAGAAGTAGGCTCGCGCTGGTGAGGATGCTTCCCTCAAAACCTCGCTTTAACAACTGCTTAGAAGCACAGTCGCAGCGACCGTTTCGATTTAATGATCGCTTTGAACGATCCAAGAGAAATTAATCAATTAAGCAAGAAAATAATTAGTATATTATGCCTGCAACTGATTCTCGCTATCAAATTATATTATACATTCTAACCACAATTAATCCTGTCTTACCTCGAACGGAACGGAGTTATAGAACAGTGTTATGAACCAAGTCAGAGTTATGACTGGTAACTCCACGTCACAAAGTTTCAAATGCTCCATTAACAATGGCAGCTTTTGCTTCGCGATCTCGTTCAGTATTAGTTGATCCGCTTGAGCCCCCGTTAAGCTACGATCGTAGTAGCTTTCAGGAAAGTAACACTCCGTTACAGCAACCAGAAACCTAAAGATATGACGAATGATATTCAAATTATACCAATTGAGATATGATCACTTGCCAAAAGCATTCTTCCGGGCTAAAGAATAACAGACCAATAGCCGCCAAAAAGTTTACCCCCTGGCAGTAGCCGATTTTTGGATTGTGAATGCAGAACGCCAGCAACACTTGATTCAGATGCAGTAGCTAAAACAACCAGCGAAGATATTTGCATCAATTGTTCGTTTATTTATATGGCGTATAAGTAAGGCTATTTTCAGATCCTAAAGCTAGATTATGAAAGCTAAATGGTCTGATTCACTTTTCACCATACCGAAATACGTTTTGACAACCTGCTTCATTTATTAACAAAATTGCATCTCTTGAAACATAGAGAAACTGAAATAGGCTGCAACACGTTCCATTGCAAATATTGGGTGATAAAATCTCGCTATCACGAATTCAAGACTGATATTTATATCGCTATAGACTACTGTTGCGGATCCTGAAAGTCAGTGAATGGGTCTTGAAGCGAATAATGCAACATGACCCAAAAATTTCGAATATGTAAAACACAAGATGGAGACAATAATATTTTTGTCACATTAATCCCTTTCGAAAACAACGCATATTTACAGGTTGCGGAAACGGGTCAGACAGTATAACAGACGTTACCGACCTTGTGCCAATGTTTAAGCTTCGGCAGAAAATGACTCTAATCTGGAGCAGAGTCCTTTGAGACATGCCCTAGAGTGGTTTTTGTTATTCCCGGAGTCTTTGGCCGGCTGCTTGAGCAACTATTAGCTGATTCGCTGTCCATTCTGAAAGCATTCGAAAGACGTGCCCAAATGCCCAAACCATTGCAGAAAGACTGCAGGACTTCCCCAACACGGAGAAGCAGCGGCGTGCAACAAGCCTTTCTCAGATATTTGTGCTTCGGATCCTGTAGACAGGCGTGAGCACTGTGATTCGTCTCAGAAATCCCATCTCAGTCGCTTGTATCTGGGATCTAAGTTTTTCAGTCATTTATTGAAATCGCCAAGTAGAATGATGGATTCTGTAGTTGGTACTTATTACCCTTCTATTTCCTCCAGGAATAAATCATATTCTCTCTGAATTGGGCACATAGACCAGTAACGTAGTGAAAGCTTTAGACATGGGTAACTTCAGTCAGATGATTGCAATTTTTTCGCTTGGTCAGACCTCCATTCAATAATGATAGTGGTGATGATGATTATATCGATAACGATAAAATGGTGGTGGGAGTGGCGGTGGTGCTGATGATGATGATGACGATGGTGATATGGACGGGGATGACGATGATGTTCATGATCATGACGACGACGATGAGGACGATGACGGCGGCGGTTGTGATGATAAGAGCATGATAATGACTATGATTTTGGTGATTATGAGTAATCATTAGAGTGATGATGATTATTTGAATATGAAGATGATGTCTATGATCATCAAACGGCGAGCGGCTTTCTGCGCGAACTAGCCCGAAGAGTAGTGATTAAGCCAGAGCTGAGTCTTAAGACTGCGTTGTCTGTGTCCAGGTCGATTTTCGTCCCCATGTTCATCCATAGTCATGAGTCGTGGGCCATGACTAAAAAACATCGCTACCGGGTACAGGTGTCTAAAATGAACATTCTGAGTCAAATTGCCGGGCTCATGCGTCTCGACATGTCCGGAGTCCAGATATTCGAGACAGCGTTGGTATTCCGTCGCTGCTTCTTCAGATAGAGAAAACACAGCCCCGATGGTTTGGACGCGTGTTGCGAATATACACCCAGAAAGGAAAGCGAAACAACTAAAACTTGCTCACTCGACCGGTCAAAGACCACGAAACGGCAAAGAATGATTTGGGGCAAGTACCCTGATAGACCTTGGTCAAGACTCGGATTTTCTTGTGCCGAAGTTCAAGTGATGGCGTAGAATCTGGAACTCAAGAGACAATGTCTTCTTTCGACCAGAAAGGATTAACACTCAACGGAATCAACTGACCGAGATGATGATGTCAGACGCCAGCTACTGATGAAATGGATGAAAGCTTATTTCCTGTATGACATCATCAAGAGATCGGGTTTTCAGCAGAAAGAGAAATACAATCGATGTTTGAAAAAAAAATATAATGTTATAAGGCGTAAAACTGCACGCAGTTGCTTCCAGCAGCCCAGAAAATCATAAGTATATGAATCGGTGGTAAAACCAGTAAATACAACTAACACACAATTCTGAAAATTTCTTTCGAACGTAGGTGAGTATTGCACTTGTTTTCAAAATATGTAGCGAAACCTCAACGTATACTTTCGTCCTGCAGATATCGCTTTCTTTCGCTACGTAGAAATCACTAAGCTTAGCTTTAAGTGTAGCTTTGTTACTGCGACACTGAACATGCATGCTTACATAACTGATATGTCTTTCTCTTAATGAACCTGGAAGATGTGACCCGGAGCAGAAGCCACTTCCGGCACGTTTAAAAAAAGTTGCCTCATCCACCAGTGGTAATTGCCCACGACAAAGATATTACAAATTGCCTCGTTGTTCAGAATTTGTTAAATTTGATGAACGTGAATGAGACATCGGTTTATCAGTGTTGGTGTCCTAATGGACTGTTGAACAATCACTTCTCAAAACAACATTCAATAAACACTGGTAAATGACGATGAAATTAATTGGCTTGCTATGGAATCACGGAGGCTTGCTACGGAATCACGAATATAAAAGTTAACCAACTAGAAGAGCTTCAAGTTTGTGCCAATGAACACGTCAACACTGTGTTCGGTTGAGCAAAGACGTTTAGCATGCGGACTGAGGAATATTAGATCGTATTCGAAATTTTATTTGCGTAGAACGTAGAACTTGTATTCGAACGTGGATCTGTTTAATTCATCAAAATGACACCGTTTTCTATCCATGCAATGCATTTGCAGAAATAGCATGATGTCCCGGACAAAATAAAGGGCTTCTAGAATGCTAGAAGCGACGACACCGTGCTACTCTGACTAGGAAATGCGAAGAGGTGACAGAAGGGAGTCATTCATTGTAGTCATTGTACACCTGCTCTTGAGATTTCCGAGTCAAGCTCTGAATCAGTGCTCACTCAAACGCTGGAGTCAGAGACAATCAAAAGACAATTACAATAGTACTTTCTACGACTGTGCAAAGTAATTAACGTCATCAGACGTATTGGAAATCGTATCGTGGAATTTATGCTGCGCCCCCAACACCTTGTCATTTTCTCCGTCCTTTCTCATGCACAGAACGAAAACAGTTATCAGGCAGGCCAAATTCGCGTAGTAATACAATAATTGATAACGGCGGTGGAAAATGGACTTTAAAGTCAAATTCTTGACCTCAATATGAAACACAAGTGTCTGAAGAGGGAGACAATTAGGTGACTAACTGCATGATGATTTCCAAATCTACCAAGTGATGCACAGTGCTGCATAACTA